GGGGTACCCCTTCAGATTTTGCAAAATTTTCGTTTTTTGCCAATAACTCCCAAACCGCTGGACTTACGGAAAAATTGCATCAGACCTTTCTTGTAGAGGACAACGAGATCTATAATTTCCATGTAAAAATGTTTAGCTAGCGCCAATAGTTAACGAGTAATTTGCAAAAAACTGTTTTTTCGTTTTTCGTCAATAACTCGTTAAATATTAATGCTAGCGAAAAATTTTTACATGGAAATTGTAGATCTCGTCGTTCTCTACAAGAAAGGTCATATGCAATTTTCCCGTACATTCAACGGTTTAGGAGTAATTATGGAAAAATGAAATTTTTTGCCAAAAGTTCGCCGTTTCGACGCTGGGATGGTCGGATTTTGTCAACATCAATGAAATGCCAAATAATCATACGTAACTCGTTAAATATCGAAGTTAGAAGGAAAACAACTTTTATTTGAAGCATTTTTCGCAATTTTGAAAAAAGATTTTCATCAGCGTCAATACTGTAAACATCTTTGACTGTTTGAGTATGGCGTCGATAAACTCCCCCTCGATTTTGAATCCGGCTTTGGACTCAGGTGCGTTTTGCATGCGTATGCACTTATACGACATAATCGAGTATCTACTAATCGAGAACTCGTCGGGGAGACGAGTTGGATCCCCGCGGACTGGTACTGATTTATAAGGCGGTAGCCGGCATCGCACGTTTCTGTAATCGAGGGCAATTGATAACGCGGCTGGTATCGGGAAAATGATCGCGGCGAGACTGGCGCCGGAACGGTGCTCGATTTCCATTCCAATTGCCGTGAAATTGTATCGTCTCGCAACTTTAATCGTCCACTGAATGGAAAATTAGATTTTAATAACTGTTACTAATGTTAGATATGGCATTCCTGTTTACAGAGTCCGGTTTACAAAATTGCGAGATTACGAAATTGTTCCAGCTGCCATAATGAATTAGATAAATAGATTCATACTCTTTTGCAGCGTGACAGCCTAATATGACAGACAAATTGTAATAGATAATTAATTAAAAATAAAGTAATAACATAAAAAAACCATTCCTTAGGCATTTAGATAAAAAAATCTTCAGCATCGCATTTTTTTATTTTTGAACTATTAAAATTATTTGATTTGTGTAACAATGAATTTCGGATAAACAACTGTCGAATGGTTGATCCGTTTCATGGGGTCGATTCGGCAAGTCGATCAAGTTAAGCGATTCGTGAATTGAAGCGATCAGCGGCAACCCGTGGTCTTGATCGTGAACGCCGAGGCGCGATGTATGACCGTTGGTCACGCCAGCCTATCACTCTTCAGTACTTAATTACCCCCGGCCGATGAACTCAGGGTGGTCCATGATCTCTTACCATGGATACCGACCATTCGATCTGTCTCTTGATTGTATCGATCTCGCTGCATGATACCTTCCCGCTTGATCGATTGAATCAACCTTCACCCACCAGCGATTCGTTGACGGATCGTAGAATATTATTCGGTAGATACCTATTGGCAGTTCGAGTATTTTAAAGATTTCTATGAATCTGAACTGAATCAATTTATACAAACGTTTCAATAAGAAAAAAAACGTATCGTAAGCTTCGTTAATGCCTGAGGTTATGGTAGAATATATTATTTTTTATTTATGGTAGGACATTAAGTCGCTGATGTAGAGTCATTTTGTAGAGATCGCACACGAAGATGTGTGTCGCGTGCCCCCGTGTACTATCACGTTCGCGAACCATTTCACGGCGACGTCGTAAAATTGTTACACTTTGGAGAACTCGTGTGCGTCACTCGAGTGTGCAATTAAGATCCCCCTCCGTAATCTTCCTGGTTCTCACAAAATTTACAACCTATACGTGCCCTGGATATTGCGAATCCCCGCCGCGAGATATCGTCCAAGTATGTGTCACTAGGATTTTGCAATACATCCTTGAAAATCTCACGTTACCGACCGAAAGAAGCCCTGATACGAAAGTCGCAAGGAGCCATAGAGGATTAATAACCATCATAAACCCCATTATTCTTGGTAACATATTCTGCTGCATATAACAGTACTCGAAACAATGCCGAGGTATATGGCCCGACCGCGAAGCGTGTCCGGTGGATCGTTTCCACGCTCGTGGTCGCCCCGTGTACACTTGCGGACGACGCTAACTCCGCGCCACGCCGGATCTTGCCCTTGCCGGCCCTGTTGTGCCGTACGTTTTTCGTGCGGCCCTGTTTATGAAAAACGGCGGAGCGGAGGCGAAGTCGGCAGTCAGACGACGACGAAAGAGAAGAAAGAAGGATCCAGCGCAGCGGAAAGGAAGCGCGGCACAAACGTATGTAACCGTGACTAATCTTTCACGGTGAGGAGTCCCGCGCGTGTCCCAGTATCGTGAAGTTCTTGAATTATTGCCCTGTTATCTTGGCTGGTTGCACAGCGTGGGAGGGGCGACGACCCCCTTCAGATCCAGTTTCATGAAAGGCACCGACTCTCACGGGAAGAGACCCGACGCGTACCCGTTTTCTAGTTCTAATCTGTCGGCCATTTGTTAGATGGTTATGACGTCCACTGTGAGGGTGGATGCACGGCGCCCAAAGGAAAGAACCGAGCGCAGGTTACGTTGCTGGAAGGGGTATACGATGCGAAGCACGCTGCCTGTGTCGCCCGTTTGTCCCGTGCTCTCAGCCATCGGGACCACCCTGCAAGTCGGCAGCACGGATCTGGGGCAACCTGCGCGAAACCTGCATCCTCCATGACTCCTTTCTTTAATCCTAATGCCTCTCCTGCCTTCAATTTATTTTATACGTTCAAAAGAATTGCCAGATTCTATAAGGACGTTCTTCGTCTTGTTGAATGCAATAATTAGAGTTACGAATATTGTTATAAGTAAAAGAATCATTTATATTTAATATCATTGATCAAATCATCAATGAATTAATTTACGTACATAAAATTTTTTTTTGAGACATTAGAATTTATCATAAAGGATGGATGAGAATATCAAAATTTGTCTTCATAGTCATTACATTAATCACTAGCATAATGACGCTTCAACTTCTACCGCTGTCCAACGAAAATATTAAAACGACGATCATAAGTAGAAACGGTTAACGGTACCGTAGGCTGACAACTAAACGATACTACAAAGTCCCCGGACAGGCTCGATCGTTTCCTCCTACCGATGGCTCGCTAATCAGAACGATTCATCAGCGAGGGTGGAACTTGATTTAAGGAAAAGTTACATAAATTTCCTTGGCGCGTACACATTTGTATTCAGCCCGGGCAACATTTGTCAAACCAGACAATGGTTTTATAAATGATACCGACGAGTTCGCGCCTCGTAGATCGCGATCCCGGTACAATGGCCGGGCACATATCGGTCAATCGAGGGCGCGCCAGGAAATTCGATATTCGCTCGTCGTGCATCGTCGACGTGATAGCGATTAATGATCCCCCCGTTGCCGAAGAAACTTGCGGCCCCCGTACGAATACGCGGCTGCTCGAATATCCGTGAGCCGTGCTTCATAACCTGTCTTGCAGCCAGATAGACTACATGTTAATTAAAGATCATTAGATAACCATCCAAACTGGAATTCAGTCTGTATGTCAACGTGCACGTATATGTTATACACGGATTTTTTCTACGTGTAAAAATTAATTACCATTTCTCTATTTGAATAATTGCCCATCGTAAAACACGTACACCGCGAGAACGATTTTATTATACCGAATGCAAGTTGGACACGAGCACGTTTCTCGTTACGTATATCTATCGATGATCGTACGATGCCGCTGGTTTGCCGCCATAAAATACGAATCCGAACGAAACTAATTGCTTGTATCTGTTCAACAAAAGGAAACTCGTCGGGTCCGCGCCAATAAACACGTCTCTTATTCCTCTTTCCTGTTCGCTCGGTTATTTCGTTCGCTCTCGAGGCCGTAGCGACGCAAGGTGGAAGGAACCGGTGGGCTCGAAGCTACTTCAGTGGAGAGGCAGGGGGTCCTGGTTATTTATCCGCGGAAGGGTCTATTAATTTCGAGCCAATAATAACTCGGACTCCCCGTACTAATTAATATATGAGCACCATCGGCCGGCAAGAAGCGAGGCAGGTTCGTCTCGCGGGACGATCCTGAAGGCTCGGTTACCACCTTTTTCTTTCTTACCTCTCTCGTGGCTCTCCGTTCGAGTCGGGCCTCGGTCCCTCTGCTTTCCTCTTTTCCTCGCACGGTCCGCTCGTATCGGCAAAACGATGATGAAGAACCGGCCCCGCCGACAAAGATGCCGCGACATGAACCTATGCGTTCTCGTTGCGCGCTGCGCACCGCCTTTACCTCTCGAATCCTGATGAAGTGCTCCGTTTGAGTTTTATAAGTGTGTCACAGTTATCGTGAAATGGTTTCGATCACGTACGATTTCTATTGAAAAAGCTGTCGTCACGAAATGAAATAAACGTGGGAATTTCCCTGCTTTCTCTATATTCTTAATATACAATACAGGCAATATTTATATTGCACGTGAACCATGTCATATTTGTCAAAGTGTCAGCATATTGATAAATCGACGTATCAATTGTCGCATAGAACTACAATTATCATTTGCCTGCGAATAAAGGAAAAGGCACGAACAGCTTGATTAAGATCCTCGGAGTACAGACCGCATGACCCCATGGTCAGTCGACTTCCATGAAGGAAGCTCGCTGCGAGAAAAGGATGCGGCGTATTTCCTTCGTGGGTGTGTCCCGATGTCATGGACTCGTGGCACGAGCGCGAACTAACGCGAAGTTGGTGCACCGGATGCCCTTTCTGCAATGTTGCATAGATGTTGGTATGTCGTGAAGGCGCAACACGTGTTGTACGCTACTGTTGACTGCGTAGCCACCAAACCCTTCAGGTTGATATCTGGAGTCCACGCGCGGACAGTATGTATATACGGATGTGTACGTATGTACAAAGAGTTCATGTCACGCCGGTGAACCGGCGAAACTGATTGCTGGGCGTAGTCCTGGCCATTGTCCCGTGACAGACGTTCGATTGTCGCTATTAATATAAAAGAGGGGGATCTCCGTGATATCTTCGAGTGCCCTCGTTTCCTGACTTGCCCACGTGCATATAACACATACGAGACACCTACTTGCGATATCCCTGGTCGGAGCGTTGATGGCCACCGCGCGTCTCTTCCTGCGGCCTCCTTCCTGCGAGTAACTGATGCACATACACCGGAAAGGTGCGGAGATGTCGAAAGAAAAGAAAAAAGTCGTGGACGGACGGTGAAAATGAACGGTTCGTTTGCCACGAGCCTTAATCACGCCCACGTAACGTAGTAAACAGTTCGCGCCGGCATTATTTCAGCCCCGTGTACCTCCGCAAGGATAATTTTACGAAGACGAAGCTGAGTCGCGATCTCGTTCTTGTACGGTACATGCGCTTTCGTTTTGGTCCTTTCGTCGAACGGGCCGAATCCGGATTTCGTCTGCTCGATAATCAATAAAACTCGAACGCAGTAATTTGTCCCGGGTTTTTATTAGACCGTAAAAAGTGGCTCTCGAGCAGATGAGCTCTCGCTCGGAAGGCCGGCTTCGAAAATTCTTCCCGGGCCACTGAAAATCATTTTATGCACGCGATATATTATAAGGCCGCGTGCTATACGTTCGTGGCATACGTTTGGCCCACTATACGACCGACGCGATGCGACGAAGACGACGATGGTAGGTATAGCAAACCTGGCGCGACCTATACGACCGCCTACGTTTAAGCTTCGTAACAAAGAGACGCGCGTTTCTTTCCTCTCGTCCACCCACGTCGTCGCATAAAAATATCCGTGCAGGTGGTAGCGAGCCGAACGTTGCACGCGTGACGCGACGTTTCTGCAGATTTCACCAGATTTCGCTTTCATTCTCGAAAATCGTCGCTCTGTCCATAAATAACTCACCGCGCTATTGTTAACGCCGTTTCTTTGCTCCGCGAAATTGTTGTTCGCCCTAGTTGTCTCCTCACATCCGAACTTAAACATTATTTAGGGTATCGCAGGCAGACGGATGTATTTTTATGCAGTACCGTTGATGTTATTTATGAAACGACGAGATCGTCATCGGACCGCATGGTGCTGCTTGTAAATTCAAATTGACCGGCGAGCTTTTTCGATTAAGAGCAGGAATCCCTTATCGAGGCTTCGAGTCAGCTCTTTATCCTTCCTTTTCGTTTCACGTTTTCTTGCATATTGAATTTCACGTGTCGCGGACGATTTTTGTTGCAGAGGAAAGGTTGTTGGAGAGATTGTTGCAGAAATTGTTACATGAAAGTTGAGAGAAGCGAATATGGGGAGAGGAACGAACGAGGGAAGCCGTCCTTCTGTTTAGCATTCGCGATGATATCTGGATGGAGTCCAGAGTGGGCTTAACGGGCTGTCGCTCGATATAGGCGCGGTCGCTTCTTCGGGGTTACGATTTCGTTTGCACACGATTATCCGTCCCTGCCACTACAAATCGTCTTCTTCTCTGCCTCTGCCCACGTACGGCGAACAGGTGTTTTTTTTTCACAAACTGGGCGACTAATTTTTATAAAAAATCTCGAGTCTGGACATATAATTTTTATTTTTGTTTAACGGGTTTAGATGTCGCTCAACTCTTTTACAGTCGTAAGAATTCTTAAGGAATGAATCGGGTGAGTTTTTATTCCAACAGAGGTACGGACAATTAAGGTACATTCAGGGCTTGACCTTTCCACTCGCCTAGCGCTACCGAAACGATTCTATTTCGACTTTCACGTCGTCATTCTGGTACGTGCAAGTGGTTTCCACCCAGGGGATCAGGGTTTCACCCCACGAGGTATCTCTTTCCCAAGATACAGCTGGTTGATAAAACGACGAAAACATAAGGTTCGCGGGGTCTGTTACATTTTAGAGCGAGATGCAACGTATCACGAATACGATGTCATTGCTTGCTGGGCCGAGGCCACAATTGTCGCGGGAATGACACGGTCGTTCGCTTTCGCTTGAAACGCATTTCGTTTATAATTGCCTGACGTGAAATTGAAGTAGGAAACTGTAAACATGTTTGCCTGTTATTGGCTGCAGTCGTTGCACCCGAATAAACTGGTGCACATATTTTCGTTAAAAATATATGTAGTGCAACTTGTATATCGCGAGTTAGAAACGATTACAATATGCAGAATATATTGAAGATCGAACGAGACAATGAGGGGACAGACAATTAATTGTTGAGATTAGACGCCACGGTATCGCCATTATGTCTTTGAGCCTGAAGCGCGTCAAGCGACGATATACTTATTCAAATCCTATTCTACCGTCACGTTCAGCCACAGTGTCGTGTATAATATCTACGATCGCCAGCCGTGAATAGCAGGCGAGCAGAGAAGAGAAGAGGAGAGAATAGAGGAGTAGAGTAGAGAAGAGAAGCCCTTCTCTGCGGTGAGGCTCGCAGCCGCGTTCTATAGGATGATCGAACGAGTCAGATAAGGTGGAAGGCTCTCGCGGGGGTCAATCGTTAATTTCTACGGAATTCCACGTGCTGACAATACGGGGAATACAGGTGGATGGTAGATGAGAGATAGGGGAGCTCTGGTCGGCTTGCACACGAGCTCCTGACGACGAGAACGACGACACGACTCGAAACGAGGAACAAACGAGAGCACCTTGACTGCTGCTCTCCCGAAGCGAAGCGAAACGAAACGAACCAACTTAGATACACAAGTGGTTCACCGGCCATCCCCTTCTTGCTCTCGGCCGAGTTCGTGTTCTCTCCTCTTTCGTCTTTTCTTTTCTCGGACTTCCACCTTCTTCCTTCGTTCGAAATCCACGCCACCCTGCGCGGGACGAGCTAGGTCGATCGTGGCATACGGGACAAGACAACGCTTGGACTCTACTCCAAGACGTGATATCCTCTTGGTTCTCGGAATGAGTGGAAGAGTCGCTGCACCCGTTGCAACGGACTCCGCCGCTGAACTCTTTCTCGTGCACACCTTCGCGGACACCTTGTCCCTTGTGTATGTGTGACCAGCTCGTGCTGCGCATCGTGCTGAACACGAGGAATAATTTGTGGACAGGCCACGAAGACGATTGGAACATTTACTCCGCACGCTATGCTCGGTGTACATTTATACACGATGGGATCTTTTGAGAGCGAGCCCGTGTAGGCCACCGCTTCAGTACCAGGACCACAGTTTTCATTTGCGGCTCGAAACGGCGCGTTAAGCTTCGGATGTAATCCTCGTTACATTCATTTACTCGCTTGTGCTGCATTTGTTTATAGGACTTGGGAACAACTACGACGTACATACGTACTGCTAATTGACTTTGCAGTACTAAGGAAGAAGTAGGATAAATAGGATTCATGTTGTGGGAAACAGATTAGAATCAGAAGAACAGAGGACTTGACTAAGGAAGATTTTGTTTCATATTTCATATGCATTTTAAACATTCCTCTTCTTTAGTATTACGCTTAAATTTATTATCACTGTTGTTTCATATATGCTTTGATTTAAATACATTTATATTTTGAAGTATTTAATTCATTTCTTGATCATGAAAACTTCTTTTGAAGACCCCCATATATTTTTGTCATTGTTTATCCAATCAGGCACGTATAAAATTCTACCAGTTCCTTCTTTCTTTTGCGGCTGACATACGTCGACGTCGTCTTCGAAAAATGTTTATCGATAGCTGATGGCATCGATTTAATTTGTCGACTGTTTTTATCAATACGAGACAACCTGTTTCGTTTGTAGCTCATTGTCTGCTACGAAGCAATAATTCCGATGCCCCGAGGTAATACGTATTCCACCAGGTGACCTGCACCAGGTCTATCGATTCTCCTCTTTGCCCCCTTTATTCTTCTTTTATTTTCTACCTCGAGGTCTCTTTATTCAACCTTAAATCACATTGCGTTCCCCTCCTACCTCGTGGATTATACGTATAACAAACCTGTCTATGATATGCAACAATATTTCTAGCTCACTCGCTCATTCTTGGCGACCACGGTAGATCTTAGGGACCGCCGCGAGAAGCGTACGTCATTTTCAATCATCGTGTTGCTTGGCGCAAATTGTTATGAAATTTTGTCATTTTTTTTAATATAAAGACATCCAGAAGTAAAATAACTTTCCAGTTTTTTTAAAGAATACAGATTTTGGGGGAAACTGATTGAAAATCGGTAGAAAATAAAGTTTGATTAACGTAACAAGGTATTCGGATGATGTATTCCTAATGAACAACTGATGAGATCGCCGCTCGCGGAAAGGGTATTTGCTGACACTGAGATAATGAGCAATCGTGTATTCCGTCACATGTGCTCTTTTTTTCTCGACGGCACGTGCTCGATGTCAGGGGATCGGATGCAAGGGTGTGCCTGCTGGTGGCAAGAGGGTAGATAAAGATCGACAGTCATCTGGCCTAGACGTGGCGCATCATTAAAACGTTACACGCCAAGTCAGTCGGCTAAGTGGGAGACTGATTCACTCATTGCATTAATTGGACATGCACGGTCCGAGAACTCGTTTCATGGAGCACGGTATCAAGTTTCTACAATTTTCATATAGATAACTTACACCCCCTGTTCGTCGAGTTCTTTCAAAAATTGAAAATGATCATTTTATTAATTTGTTGTATCTGTCCCACCTTCCCTCAGTATTTCATTTCGTTAATTCACGTCGACTAGTTAGGTGACTCATCTGTGCACTCTGCTCGCCAGAGGATGACGTTTACCAGTGATAAAAACGTATGGGCCGGGCCGTTCGATATTCATTTTCACCGAGTTACTCGACCGGAAGATTGGCCGAGGTGTCATCTGGTATTAGAAAAACTGGTCAGGTAGATGATATCGTGAAGATAAGTAGCCGATCATAACCGACGATCTAGTCCGCCGGTAGCTGGTCTGACGTGTAGCTAACGTGCGTTTCCTAATGACATCGGACGATGATGGTAAACGTGAAATTATAGTGGTCCCGACTCCCTGTCGTGTATCGAGCAGGTAGGTGGCTAGGCTGACGAGCGGCTGCTGCACTGCACGCTAATCGCGCGTTGCACGATAGCCTGCCACGGATGCATGGATTTCACGAGCGTGTCATACGCAACCCTGTAACGAAAAATGAGTGTTCATGACTGGATGTGACGTTAATTGGCCGGCATTGATGAACGATAGTCTACATTTACCATTAGGGCTCGGAGGTGGCGTTAAATCAACGTACAACGTCTCTACAAAGTAAGCAACCGTATGCAGAAACGTATCGGCGCCAGTGTATATCATAAACGCGTAAATACGGCTCGTTTTACGAGTACATAAAATCACTGCCACGCCAGTACGTTCGGGGGACGACCTCGAGCTTGTTCCGCGAGGCCGTTCCATATTTTTCGAGTGATCCAGGATACGGGGACGAGGAAGATAACGCGCGAGGATCGAGAGACGGGGAACCGTTAATCCGGCTGGAGGGTAATAAAAAAGTCCCCAGCGAAGTCCCTCGTCCGATATTTTACGCGCCGTAAGCCGGATTCATGGTGACCCGGGCTGAAAATTGCATCACCGTGCAAATATTCCCTCCTTTTCTCAATTTTCCGTCTCCTTTTCGCGGCACGAC